CTGCAATTGGGTCTTGGGTCAGATTTAGATTTAAAGTAGATATTCATTGATTTTAAAAACTAACTTTATTCACATTTTTGCAAAGTTGAAACTTTGATTCGACAAGGTTATCAAGAGTCAATGCTTGGAAACATTCTAGGTAATGATTATTATAAATTACAAAACGCTGAAATACAGCCCCGGCCAGGGACGTGATAGAGAAGGACAGGAATCAAGCCGCTCTCCTTTGACCCCATGCTCCAAGCCGCCGAAAAGTTATGCGCTAATCTGCAACTGTTGACCAGGTGGTGAGATAAAAGAGCGCATGAAATATCAGGATTTAGAATTCCTACATCAGAAAATGATATCACTGCAACTGTTCGCTGTCCCTTCCAATGATTTCTCATCCATTGTTGAATGTGTAAAGAGTAGAACAAGCGAACACAAACTTGTGTACTTTCATCCTTTTTTAAACTTGAAAAATACAAAAAACACGCGAAAACACGCATTAGCAAACTTAATGTTATTGAAGATTGTAAATCATGGATCAAATAACGGGACATTAAAGCATGCACAAATTAGCGCAGCATCCTAAAATATTGAGTTTTTGACAGGATGTAATTTTTCTTTTACCAGCTCTGGCACACAAATTAAAGGAAGGACGGAGATCTAAATTTGAAAATTTGTTTGATGCACTATTCCCAATAAAATCCCCATATAAAGTTTTTGATTTACACTGAAATTTTGCCGGTAATTTAATATTTTGTAATAAATGTAAAACTGGTGCCTGGCTTCCGAAATTCCCCGCAGTGGAAGCGCGGTTCGGAGCATGGAACTTCAAAGCCAAGTGGAATGTTACACATCCCATTGTTACGCTTTAGAACTCAAGAATGCGTTTGAATAAATTACAAGAGTTTCGCCTCCTTTTCTTTCACCTCCCTGCCCCGGCATAGCACCTGAAGAGCTCTCCGAACGCCAATAGGGACTTTTAGATTCGCACGAAGACAATGGGGATTGCTAAGGTCGACATTCTTTTATTGCACTGCCTTAAATGGATGTCACACGTATCAGTCCACGCAAATCTAAAAGTCCCTATTGCCTCACTCTAAACCCCGCGCATGGTTTTATTTTGATGACAAATGCATCGATACAACAATAAAGGAATCTGTCGCTTGTAATCAAAATAGGACGCCATTGTATATTCAGCTGCACACACCGAGGTATGTTCGGCGTTTCAAGAGGGAACAAATGCCGTCCTTAATATTATTCTGGGGGGTTTTCAATTGAATGTCTGGTTTCTGTGATTGTTAATTAACCCCTATCCTGTGTATTTACAAACCAAATATTTTAGTTATCAGAATCGGTTTCATATCCCCTTTTGAATTGTTTGAAATGCCATCACATTTTGTTACACTCAACTCATAATAATTTGAGAAATAATAGCTTTGCAATTATGTTCATTCTTTATGGGATGTCGTCTGCTTGGGCAGTATTGGTCCATTATGTGACTTTATTAAAACATCGTTATTTTTCTGGCGAATCTCTCGTATATTCCAGATGGTATGGAGGTGGTTGTTTTTGTATTTTTAAAAAATAAATCACCCGATATGTAGTTGACCTAAAACGTGTACGGTGGCCATCTGTTAGTTTTCTAATGATACATTAGTTGACATATTTGTGATTTTCTTTAAATTTCCACTTTAAGCTTATGTTTAGTTTAGAGTTGAAGTTTAGAGTTTGGTTAGTGTAGGATATTGACTGCGTCAAAATATATTTACCGAGCGTTTGCTGTACAATCTAATTTCAGCTAGGTAGGGGATGCCGCATGTAAAGACTCTTAATTCTGAGCTTCAAAGAATTTGAATGGCATCATTCTTTATTGTTCCAGCTATTTCTCGCACCTGTTTTTACTTGTTTCTTGCAGTTGTTCAGCTTGTGTAACAAGTCCCTGGCCATGTGACTGGTGTGTTTATGACAACATGTGTACACGTGATAGCAGCTCATGTCAGCCGGGAGATACAGTGGTGATTAATGAAAATGTAAACAGATTTCTTTACCTAAACAAATCTCTCTCTCTCTCTCTCTTTTCTCTCTTTGAGTCAATATATTTAAAGGAAACCGAACCTCAAGAAATGACTTTACTTATGCTGAGATATCTATATTATTGCCCAATAGTCTACAAGATTCCCCACCAAAATGTATGAGAGAGGTATAAAGCAAGAATTATGTAGTTTCTCAGCACGACATGGGCATCGCCATTTTCTTGATAACGTGACGTACTATGCGAAGTCGTTTATCAAGTAAATGTATTCAAATTTATGGATGCTTCCTTGCCAGACGTGAGTGGTGATGAAGCATTTCATGTACTACAATTGCCAGAACGCAAATTGCATAAATAAGTCAGTGCTCTTCTGGAGTGAAGGTTTTTCATAAATGAAATAGATTTGTCAACAACAATAGTGTAGTATTTATAAATGAATTTAGTAATATTTTTCCCCTGTTATTTATTTTTCACCAAATATAATTTTCATCTTCTTAGTGATGATTTTTTCTCATTGTTAAGTAAAGGGTTCGTTATAGATTTAAAAATTATTTCCAACTAAAGCTTGGTGCATCATACATGTACAACTTCAACTGGTACGTCACATTTTCAAGAAAATGACTGCGCCCATGTCATGCTAAAAGGCATCACATTATGTCAGGAATAGCTTCATTTATATATCTCTTTATACATTTTCGTAAGGAATATTGTACATCAAAGGGCAGCAATACATCTCATTTTTCATAATGCCTACACTTATTCTTTGGGGTTAGATTTCCTTTAATTATTCTATTGAACAGAACGTATATAGATTGAATGCGTATTTATGTTATTCGTATATCATGTCAACGTGTTCTCCTTTTTGCTATCACCACATTTTGAATTGAGGTTTTCTTCACTTTGGAATTTTAAGGTCGAGCATTGGAAAAACACAAACTTATATTCAAAATAGCATGAGATCAAATAACTGCGCAAAGAGATGTTTGGGAATTTTGCAAAATGCTAAGACATATCCTACTGAAATCAGTAAGCTCTAAATTTGAACATAAGTTGTGCTTTGAAATCATGCCATTCAGTGATTCCGTGGGTTCCTTGCAATGAGATAATAATATAAAATACATACACAATTATCGATAATAAGCTACAAGTGCAATGTGTTTGATTATGTTTTTCTTTTGTATCCTATATCTATTTCGTATTTACAGAACACCGTAGGTTCTGGAAACAAAGGCCGGGGTTATTGCCCTCAGCTGGTGGCGACATCAGAACGGATTTTTATCCCAGTTAATATTCCCTCTAGTTACTCACTTCTGGCAAAAAATCTCCCTACAGAGCAGGTATATTGTATGAACATCATTCCATTTTGAGCTACGATTATTGTACATTTAACATGCAAATGTGAGAATATAACGTAATACTACTATTACTACTACTACTATTACTACTACTACTAATAATGATAATAATTGCGCATTCCTCCTCCCGACGCTCCATTATATAGCACGGTATTCATTGCAGCGCTCAAGATTTCTTAAGAATTATTTCCTACATGGTACTCATTTTTATAACTCACCTGTGTCAAGTGTGGCAAATGTGGAGTAAGGTCTTGGGACATGTATTAAATGATTAAATAGTGTATTATAATCTCTTTGTTTTCAAATGCAATATTTAATTAGGTCCTGCCGTTTGATTGCATTCTTCATATTGATGGAGACGAGATAAGAATACCAAGTTTCTCCTTCAATGATAGCTACATCGTCTGTAGTGCTGAAGAGGTGAATATGTTTTTGGAACCTTGGGAGAACGTTTATTTAATTACCTATCATCAATATTATTGATATTATGTGGATGAGAGTTATCCCTTAACCGAACTAGATTGATACTACCTTTAGTAACTCATATAGTATAAAGCGGTGTTAATTTATATATTTAAAAATATATAAAAATCCGAACGCCCTCAGGGCTTTATTGTAAACCAATTTCTTTCGTCATTATATTTATGAATATATGTGTGTGTGCGGGTGTGCATATTTTAATAAAGGCGTCATTAGACGGACATTTGAAGTAAAAAGTGAGTCATTAAGTAGACATTGTCATCAGGATAATTCCGTGCCATCTTAACGCTGGTACGTTTTAATTTTCATAGAGAGCCTTTTTAAATATATATCTCACCCTCTATATATAATTTTACTTAAGGCGTCATTGTACGCACATTTGGAGTGAAAAGGTGAGTCATTAAGTGAACATTGTAATAGGAGGGCAATAATTATACAGACAAGTTTTAGGGTTAGGATTAGGGTTTTAGGTTAGAGTTAGGGTTAAGGTTACGTTAAGGGTTATGATTTTTATGATGTCCAAGTTATGTACTCGATAGGGTTAAATGGTTATATATATGCCTTCTTTCCACCATATCTTTCTCCTTCCTGCCCTATATTTTCTTCCCATCTTATTCTTCTTCTTTACCCTTGGCACTTTTTTGTACCTCTTATCGCCATTTAGCTGCTTCTCCATTTTCACCATTTTTTCTTCCCCTTTTTTCTTTTCTTACTCCATCTTCTGCAATGCCTCAGTATTTTAATAAAAATCCAATGGCAAGGGTGCATACATGTATCGTATGATAATAATAACGATATGTCCACTGATATAGCGCAGGTACTATTTAAATATACTAATCTACGCTACAAAGTATCATATTATTACCCCGGCTAGTTTTCAAGGAATTGTTTTTCCCACCTGGCACCAATTTACTTCAGTTTGTGGATCCGTAGTCCGGTGACATATCCATTAAACCATGACCCCTATCATGTATTTGGAAATGATTGCCCCGACCTTTTCATCTATATATCATCTTTACCTTCATTTATGCTAACGAAGGCATTCTCATTGCACCTATCTATCAATTCAAACTTTACACTATGTTTGTTTGAACCTTTTATTTCAGTACATGTACAATGAGAATATCCTCGAGAAGAATGTTAGCGTCTCGGTTCAGTGGAATGGACAATACAACATAGATGATCCGACAGACACTTATGGTATGACACCCTTTTCGTTTTGTACCAAACATGTTTTCATCAATTCTAAAATATTCTTTGGATATACGATCAAAACAAAAATGTCACCTCAGCCCTTCTTTAAAATGAAGTAATTATCACTTTAATAAAACTTTCTAATGCATGAAAAATGTACTTGTCCTTCTTTTTTTATAACTTAGATGAAACTTTATAAAAGAATCCAAGCCTTTGATTTCATACAAATCTACTGTTAATGTTAGGAAGAAAGTTGAAAAGAATTTCGAACAAATTAATTACCATTTATAATTGGAACTTCGCCTTTTAGGCTTCATTTGCAAATTCAACTTGAAAATACTATTATTTGTTCTGAATCGTTTTATCATAGCTCAGGCATATAATACATAAATCTTGAAAAACGCATTAGACTAAGGGAGTGGTTATGTTCGATTTATATATAAATTTACTCCCATATTCTTCCTTCTATTTCATTGAAGTGACCCTGTACAAGTGTTCAGTTAACAGTGGAAGTTGCAGCCGGTGCTTGTCAGAAGGAGCAACCCCATCGATCTTAAACTGTGGTTGGTGTGTTGATGATTGCAATGTCATTCAGAGTGATGTTTGTCAGAACAATCAGTTTCTCAGCCAGAATGAAACCCAGCTCTGTTCAGAACCAGTTATCACTGACGTAAGAAAATAATATAACACTATCCGATTCATAAATACTTACCTGACAGATTATGCAAGGTCCCGTAAGAGATCATATAATTTTTGTTTTAATAATTCTAATAAATGAGATTTGTAAGGTGCCAAATCAAATTGAAATCAAGTGATCAATATGCACGAAATCATTCATTTTGGTGCGTGATCTACGTGTAAAAATTGTATCAATCATCCAAAGTCTTACTTCCAAATGTCAAAGAGTCATTCATGATTATGTTAATAATGAACAAATTAATCTTATAAAATAATCTACATGTGTTTTAAAAATTGTCGTGTTTTGGTGTTTAGTTTTATCCCATGTCAGGTCCTATCAATGCTCAAACGCGACTAGACATTAAGGGAACTGACCTAGGAGTAGAATTTGATGACGTACTGGAAATAGTCATAGGAGTCCTGGTGTGTAATCTGACTGACATGGGCTCATTTTATCAGGCAGGACAGAGGTAAAAGAAACAAACAAAGCTTTCATGTGTTCGATGTATTCGTGTTCATAAACGTCTCATGAATGGCCACTGAATGACTACTACTATACGGGATGGTGACTTTTATTAGTTCCTCCATGAACTTGCCGTTATCACCGAGAGTGCTAAAATGCGGAATATATAGTGGCAATACGGTCTGCATCAAATGGTTCACTGAGTTGATATGCTCATGTACTCTAATTTGGAATCCCCTTATATCTATACAAAATTCTATTATGATATCATCGCGTGAATATAAGAAAAACGTACATAATAAAACCATTCAAAAATAAACAATTTTGGCTGCAAAAAATTGATACGTCAAATGATCGTTTGTCTGATTTCTTTCTTATTGTCAGTGTGAGCTGCATGACTGGGATATCTAATGAACTAATATCAGGACGCATTGGAATCACAGTGAGGTCTGGTGAAAGTACTAAGACCGGAGAGAGTACTGCAAAATTCTTTTACAGGGTAAGCGAATAACAAATCACATTGCTTTCCAATTTACGAACACATTCCCGTTCTAATTCTTTGAGAACCATTGCCGCGGACTTTTCGTTTCATTTATGCGCTGCCATAATATAATACGCAAAAATGTTGGTGGACTTTGAAATCCTTTGATTCATGACTTGTCAAAAAAGCTGTTATGATATCGCCAGTGGTGCCAGTGAAGTAATATGAATGAGCCAATAAAACAATACTAACTTACAGGTAATGTTACCTCTTCTGATATTTCTTTGAAAAAAAATTCTGTTTTGAGCTTTAATTGGTATTTTCCCAGTGAACAGTTGATATGGCTTTTCATAATAACGTATTGGGAATTTTCCCTACAAGAATGAATATTTATTATTATTTAATATTGAACTCTAACATCGGGCTTTGAAAGGATACTATTGTAATAATTGAATACAACATGAAAAACGATTCAGCTATAACCTACTTCTTATTGATGTGTAATCCTCTATAATGATTTATACGATTAAGTAATTTTCTTGCTAGGATCCCATGATATCAGGGTTTAGTCCCACGGAGGGGCAGGTAGCAGGAGGTACAGAGATCACAATTACTGGGATGTATTTCAACACAGGAAGGAACATTGAAGCTAGTTTTGGAGAAGCACCATGCAACAGTTTGTGAGTATCACTTATATATATTATGAACCTTTATGGTAAACTTTTGCTATATATGTTTTCAGCAGCATTTATCATGTGTTGTTAGATAAAATTGGAAAATTGGTAGATGTACCTCGAACTGCATTTTACAGACAGGAGGATATTTTTTTTATGTAAAAGGATTATGGATTTTATAAATTTACAATGTAATCACAATCACCAAGTAGAATTCAGAAAGACGAACGCACACACACACACACACAAGCACACAACACATAAATTGCACCTGCGCACACTTTTACTTGCGCACATCTACACTGACCGGCCAGGAGAAGTGAGTCGCATTCATAAGCATTACCAATACATATACTTAACACTAAAATATTGAAACACATAAGTTAAACTTACCCCCCCCCCCCCCCCTCTCTCTTCCAGCATGATATATAGAGCTGTAATATAATGAAATGTGTTCAGAAGACAGTTATAGCATTCTGATTTGAATGATTAATAATTTCGATGAGCCTATTTCTAAGACATTTTCATAGATAGTTCTTATGCATAGATATATATTTTTTCTTCAGGATTGTTGAAGATATGACAGCAACTTGCATCACGAGCAGCTTACAAATGAATGAACAAGTATCTGTGTTCTTGACCATGACATTCGAGGGAGTTGAAAAAACTTTCGAAGACTTCACATTAACCTACTACCCAAACCCAATTATCGATGGCATTGACAGAACTGTGTCTATCATGTCGTAAGGAACAATATCTTTATTCGCGTTTCGAACTGGCGGGAGCCTTTTCAAATACTAAGAAAAATGGATCGTCTTGCTATTCTTAATCAATGTATTTTTTGGCAGATATCTTATACACAAAATGTAAAGAAGATATGTGTAAAGTTAATAGTTTATATTTTAATTGAGCGTGTAACGAGGTGTATTTTGGGTTGTGTGAAACTCTAGTGGGGACAAATAGACAACAGTGAACGAATGGACTGAAACTAAGTATTCTCAGTTGTTTCTAAATATCTCTCCACTTTACAATTCAGATATTGTTGTACATCTGTCCCCAGATAATCTTTTGAGTTTGTGGTCCATTCCTCAAGTGAGATTTTTAAACATAGCTGCGTTTATGCAGTTAAAATGTTCTTTCAATAGTCTGAAACATGTGATATTTCTTCTTTTGATACAGAGGAGGTCTCGATATCAAACTAACAGGACAAAGATTTGATGTCATCCAGGAACCCCGGATAATAGTTTCGTCACTTACAACAAATGCTAGTGACTCTGAGGTATGTATGTATTACTCTGCTCGTTTATGTCTGCTTATTGGCAAAGCATAAATGGTCTGCTAGTGTACAAATTGAAAACATATCATGCAATATTCAGACCGTCAACTTCCCAGGAATCGAAAGACCTCGAGAACGACAGTCGTCAAAACCCTTAGACAACTTCTTGAATCGTTTTCAGAGGGTTCGCTAAACTAACTATGTCGGTCTCGTAAACTGTCGGTCGTGTGGGATGATGGTCCCGTGGGATTCCGATCAACTGGGATGCCCCTTTTGTCACATGAATTTGACTTAATCGTACCGCTTGTTGTTTGGACGCTACAATCAAATTTCAATACTTATATTATTTTATGATTCATCTGGTACCGTGGAAATTAATAGCGAAACATTAAATCTTCTTCCAGTACAGGAAATTCGCTATTAATAAACGTTGATTTTTTAATTTTAATTCAAGACATGTCGATTTATGTTCCACAGCTCTGCAATGGAACAGAAACTCTTCTCATCTGTCCAACCCCAAGCTTTCCTGACAATGATATCTCTGCCAGAAGGAGACGAGCTACAAATGGCGTTATGACAGCAAATCTGACCTTTGACTTTGATGGATACATCGTCGATGGCGACATAATAGAGTACTACCCAGACCCTATGTACGAAAGCTTCATTGGACCAAACAGAATCTATGAAAGTGGAAACAGTCGGCTTGAGATCGCAGTGAGTCGTTCCCGTTTAATCTAAAATGTTTATTTTAATTATCGTTTCACACTTTTTCACGAATGAAACAGTGGATTTCTAGAAATGTATTTCTGTTGTCATAATTGTAAATCCATCGATTACTGACTTCTCCTATTCCTACAGGCTAAATACAGGAGCCAACGGGTTTCTGTAGTCAATGGATTATATTATGCATTACCATATGAGAGACTTGAAATCACTGTTTCCTCACCATGGCAAAATTAGTAACTTCGTTTATTCTGTATTTTGTCAAGTTTATATAATTTCTAAAGCTCCCATCCGAATCAACGAGTGTTTCCTGTCTTTATTCTTCCGTTAATGGTGACGATCGAGTAATATGAATAGATACCCTTCAATATTCGCCATCTGCCATCACTATTGAGAAATAACATTAGTAGAACTACCCCCATCTTAGGCTTAGCTTAACTCGTCAGCGATTGAAAGCAATGTACTGCTAGCAATATTATCACAAATATCGTGTATATTGTGAGTGTAATTTGTGTTTTCACTCATTGACAGTGTCTGCTAAACTCTATACACACTCTCCTTGCATTAATTATTTTCTTTTCATATCTAGGGAATGAATTTGGACTTAGCAAGCACAGAGGATGATATTCAAGTTTTGTTGGGTCCTGATGGAGTTTGTGATGTTGATGATCTTGATATTAATGTGTTGCGATGCCAGCTACCAAATAAGAAGCCTCAACCAGGAAACATCAATGGAACAGTGGAGCCTGGACCTACCCAAGATCTACCAGCTGTGACAGTATGTCAATTTACTTATCTGGCTAGTTTCATATCATCGTTTTACTACCACAAGATGTCTAACTTACTTATTTTCATAATTTGGGGAATGAATTTGTAAAAAAATACATTTTAAAGTCTAATCTAAATGTATGTATTTGTATTTTATTCGTATTTCAAAGAGAACTTTGGGATTCTCATTTTTAAAATGATTTTAAAATCGTAAACAAAGCTAATTTTCTTTACCCCTATAAAAACAATGTTGATAACTTATAAGGTATATACGTAGTGATGATTACGTCCTACCTTTGAGTAGTATATAGAAGAAATTCGTTAAATGAGTGTCAAATATTTAGTTCTACTTTCTATTGGGCACTAGTTTCAGGGTTTTTAAGGTTGTCTTCTTCGTTAAGGCTTGAGGTCGACGTAAGTTATGAGGGTGTAACACCACGAGTCAACGTTTCTCCTCTCAACTACCTAATGTATATTTCTAGATCATTATACCATAAATATGACATTAGGACAGTGTTGACAATTTGTGTACGATTTCATTCGTCTTTTTTATTTCCCTTGTCAAAATAGTCAAATTATAATGAAAGAGTTGAAGTTATTGGGACATTATACGGCTTGTAAATAACAAAAAAATCTCGATAGACTGGGAAAATTTGGAAAATTTACAGCACAAATTGATCTCTTTAAAATCTTTGAAGACTCTTACATTGAAGTAATCAAAGAATATCTATCTAATGTTACTGACACATGCACATGATGGTCAGAAGATGATAGATACCAATCAAATTAATTACAGGTTACCCATGGAAACTTGGTATTCTACCCTGGCTACGTAAAGTACTCTACGACGTCCATCAACATCGGTGCCATTGTAGGTGCTGTGATTGGGACCGCTTTGCTCATCCTCATCCTCGTCATCATCGGCACCATCATCTTTAGACGAAGTCATCAACGATTAAACAAACAAGTCCAAGTGTTTGAAATGCTGGAGAAGAAGATTCAAGACAGAGTGGAAACTGGTAAAGTTGAAATCTCTCATTGTTTGTGAGAAACGCTATCCTTTTTACTGTAACGGAATAATTCTACACCCAAGGATAACATTCATTCGTAATAAATGATTGTATTATGACAATAATACATATTTGGTGTTTTTCAATATCGTAATTACTGTCGCAATGATCTTTGATGACGCAATCCGATCTTTGCAAATAATTGTTTAAGTGGGTCTTGCATTTCCCACCAACATGTCTCTAAGCTCGAGGACCATTTGTGGACTCTCAATCCAAGAAATAGCGTAAGAAGTAACCTTCCTCTCATTGTTCTACGTGTTGATTCATGTGGTTGGGATTAGGTAAGTGATTTCGAGCGACATCTTGCAATCAATTAATGCTAAGTTCACACCAACGCCGAATTGATGGCGAATTAAATCGGCGAGCAAGGCGGCGGCAAAGCGTAACAAAGCTTAATTAAAGCGTAAAGACCGTAATAGAGCGTGAGAAAGCTTTGAGCAACTCGGGACATTCGGCAAGAGCGCCAACATTTTTTAAACTGTTTAAAAATTTGAGGCGATCTGTCACGAATTGCGTAAAGCGGGGAGAGTGTATTAAAGCTTATCAAAGCGTCACAAAGCGTATGAAAGCTTAACAGAGTTTAACAGAGCTTGGTTCAAAGCGGTGACCCCACTTTGTACGCTCTGTCACCAATTGACACGCTTTGTCAAGATGTCAGAGCATAACATATCTGAGGAGATCGTGAGATTTTTTGAAAAGTAAACAAAAATGACGCCGAATTGATCGCCGATTTAAAGCGCGACATTCGGCGTCGGTGTGAACTGATAATGCATAATGCACTGATAACGCACCGACGCCGAATGTCGCGCTTTATATTGAAGGAACATGTATGTTAAAATGGGCAAATCTATCCCAAAATTTGTAGTATTTGGATATTATTGATCGATTATTTTACTCTTGTTTAATATGTTTGTTGCAGCTTTTCATGAACTACAGGCTGACATGTCTGAAGTAGAGGAACAAATCAGCCATCTTGGTGTACCCTTTGTGAATGCACTTGATTACTCCACGAATATGCTCTTTGCAGGACTGGCTGTTTTACCACCAACCACGGATCCTGAGGTATATATTTATTCATTTTAATGTGGCCTATTATCTTGCCAAATGACGTTAGAGTCGGGTTGAGATTCAGCTGAGCACAGAGCCATCTACTACAAGTTGTTTGGAAATGTC